TTAATCATCTATCACCTTGTGAGGTGGAGGAATGCGAGGTTGTCCGGGGGACTCTACCGCCTCATGAGCATATCTGTCGATACATCGCGTTTCACACTTCTTAGCCCCTTTTTTATGTCTCAAAAAAACAAGACTTTTTCAGTAGTGGGCAAGCGAGTAGCGCAACAGTAACTTCATTTAGCTTAAAGCACATTTGTTGAAAGGTCATATGACAGCAGCGCTAAAGCTAGTCATGGTTGTCCAAAGACAGTTATATGGGGAGCACTGATCAATGATGGTACTTACTTGTATATTTGATTCATCTGAAAACAGGCCTGGATGTCCTATTGATGTGGATCCTGGTGTTTGCTTTCACCCAGAGATAGAATACAACGCCTGTATTTGGACAGTTAGGTTCTGCATTTATTGTATTTTATGTAGTCCTGTAGTTTGTGATTTGGATTGGAATGCTGAGTGTGTAGCCTGTGCGGTTCGACATAGAGAGCACTTTGTCCTTCCTTCCTCCTCGCCGCTGCTTTTACTCGCACAGGTGAGCAGCTACACACGAGAGAACTGTCACACACACGCGCACACTTACACACACACCACAACACACACACACACACACACACACACCACATCACACACACACACCACACGCTACGATAGCGGAGACAAAAACACCTCCCCACGCGTGAGCTGGAGACGCCGCCACTGCTCCAGTTCCTCGACGCGGGATAAGGTGGTGGGGGGCGGGCGGGCGCGTTCCCCAACAACACACGGGGAGGGTAGAAGAGACGCGCACTTCACACGCCACACACACACCCACCACCACCACCCCGCACACCAGACAACCCACAACAACTAAGCGCGACACAGAGGAGACAGGCAGGAGGACACCAACGCGAACAAAGAAGAGAGTAGATACACGAGCGGGGGGAGGAGGGGGGGGAGGAGAGAACAGAAGACAACGAAGCTCCACCTGTCGAGGGTACAGCGGGAGAGGAAGACAAGGGCCTCCCATGCGACACGTACACCAGCAACACCACACAACACGACACTAAACAAAAGCAGAATACGCAACCAGGCTGTTCCCCGGGTGACAACCCAGATCCACATAGCCAGGCGTCAGAGCAAAACTAAACAGCAGGAACCCAGCGTCGAACGACAGCGTACAGCGCAGACACAATGGTTGGGTCGGAGCACGGCACGACGCTGAAGGAGAGCGTGCAGGTGCACGACCCAGCCCCCGCGAGCCGGGGATCAGAACACCTAGAGCCCGCCGAGAGTGTAGACCCTAAGAACCCCAGGATGAACAGGAGAGAAGAGCCACTTGGCCCCACGCGGTCGGCATCAGAAGTGCTCACAGGCCACGGGCGGGGCGAGAGCACAACACCTAACAGAAACAAGAGAGCTACACCACAGCAGCAGAACATCAGAACACAGGACACACACAGGACACACACACCCGGTCAGGGTCAGGTGCCACAAAGCCCGCGCAGGTGACGCAGGTAGTGTCTCTACTTTAAAGAGTCCTCTCCTGCTGATGTTCAGGTGTATATCAGTATGTAGTGTCTCTACTTTAAAGAGTCATCTCCTGCTGATGTCCAGGTGTATATCAGTATGTAGTGTCCTTACTTTAAAGAGTCCTCTCCTGCTGATGTTCAGGTGTATATCAGTATGAAGTGTCTCTACTTAAAGAGTCATCTCCTGCTGATGTCCAGGTGTATATCAGTATGTAGTGTCCTTACTTTAAAGAGTCCTCTCCTGCTGATGTTCAGGTGTATATCAGTATGTAGTGTCTCTACTTTAAAGAGTCCTCTCCTGCTGATGTTCAGGTGTATATCAGTATGTAGTGTCTCTACTTTAAAGAGTCCTCTCCTGCTGATGTTCAGGTGTATATCAGTATGTAGTGTCTCTACTTTAAAGAGTCCTCTCCTGCTGATGTTCAGGTGTATATCAGTATGTAGTGTCTCTACTTTAAAGAGTCCTCTCCTGCTGATGTTCAGGTGTATATCAGTATGTAGTGTCTCTACTTTAAAGAGTCCTCTCCTGTTGATGTTCAGGTGTATATCAGTATGTAGTGTCTCTACTTTAAAGAGTCCTCTCCTGCTGATGTTCAGGTAGTGTCTACTTTAAAGAGTGTCCAATGTGTTGGGGCAATGTCTTTATTTGTTTTTATACAGGTTTGGGATTATTATAAATTGATTTATGGTTGAAGTAATTGTTCTATTTTACACTAGCCAAGAGGAGCGCGAGTGTTACATAGTGATGTCATCAAGACTTACACCTTAAATAAAACCTTTTTTAACCGTAGAAGGATTTAGACTGATTCAAATTCTTAAATTAGTTTTAATTTCTTACTATTTAACATGAAAGCTTATTAACGAATCTATCTACAGTAACTATCCCCCCTCCCTTTGTTCACGTCTCCCCCCTCTCCCTCCCTCCCTCCCTCCCTCATACCATATGTGACATTCCTTCTCGATGTGGCGCATTGAAAACTTCCTGTTGTTATAGTTTGTTATGGAGCACTTCAAAGAGGGAGACGAGGGAGAGACAGAACATGGAGTCTGTTATAGTTTTACCTCTTAAATGCTAACATGTGAGAGCACCGTGTATGAATTATCCCCACAAGTGTGTGTGTGTGTGTGTGTGTGTGTGTGTGTGTGTGTGTGTGTGTGTGTGTGTGTGTGTGTGTGTGTGTGTGTGTGTGTGTGTGTGTGTGTGTGTGTGTGTGCCCACATGCATGAAAATCTGTGAACCTGTGTGCGAGTTTTTTTGTTGCATTTAAGCCAGTGCGTCAGGTAATGTGGCATCCTGGGTTTTGGCCATACTTTGATGTTTGGACTTTGAGAATTGGCATAACAGAGGAATGCAAAGAAGATTTTTTTTTTTTAAAGGAAAATACTCTTGGAGCATGGTTGTATCTGAAGACAGAGGGCAGAGAGGGAGAATTGGAATAAAAAGCAGGGTTTTCATCTATGTTAGGAGGTTGAGAGGAGATGGGACACATAGGCAGAAAAATAACAAGAATACAGGTTCAATCCAAAGACTTGATAAAAAGAGTACATACAAAAACTGGTGATGAAAATATTTTTGAAAAATTAAAAATTGGCACAAGGATTTCAAATATATGATTAAATCAGTGCACATACAATACTTTTAGAAAGAAAGAAGCAAGTGTATAATGATGTTTCTGTACAGTTTTTACAGAGAGGGGGAGATGTATGGTTCTGAGGTGAGACGGGGAGGGGGAGTTGAAGAAAGTGGTCTTTACAAAGAGAAATGAGAGACATTCATACTCTGAAAATAATGTGAGGAATAAAAGGAAAGAGGTAGATTTTTGAATTGCCATACAGCCAAAGACAGTGTTAGTGAGGACAGTCAGAAGGTGTGAAACCCGCTGACATAAAGAGCAAGTGACCCAAACAGAAGTTGAATTAGCATATGTAAATTACAGCTGCCTCTGTTGTGGCATCTCTCTTGCATTTTTTATCCTCCTTATGTCTCACACCTTTTTCTTTCATTACTCTAGCCCAGGGGTCGGCAACCCCTGGCACGCGTGCCACCGTAACCAGTGTCACACTAGGAATAAGTGGAATAAGTGGAATAAGTGGGCAACATATTTACATTTTATTTTCGGAACCTGAACGAGACCGCCGCCAGAGCGCGTCTCCCCGTTACCTGCAGAAGGAAGCCATGCACGCAACGCAGCCCCGCTCTCTTTAACTCCAGGTGACTTTCTCCCGCTTTCCTCCGTGGTGCAGTGCTGATCGTTTCACCACGGAGGAAAGCACTTCACAAATTGCAGTACCCATAAGGAGCTGTACAAATGCCGCAGTTTTGCGTGGCTGTGTCTTTAGTTGAAAGCCCAGTGGCGATCTGCTCATCTCTCATCGAAATAATATGCTTCACAGGGGGTGGACACAGAACGGACGATCGTCCTTATTATTATGCCGTTCAAACCAATTATTTAAATTTGTTTGTTAAATTCGGCATCATGTAAGTTGCGTTGATAGGTTCATACACTGCTCTCCGGCAGCGAGGTCTCCTGTTGACAGTGCACGAGCA